TCCTCCTAGCCCCTTCTTCAGCTGCAGCCCCTTCTCCAGCCTGCAGGGCCCCCCCCCCCCCCCCCCCATGCCCCCCCTTCCCCCCCTTGGGAAGATGGCTGCTCAGCTGTTTGGTGTGGGGGTGTTTCCCCTTTCTGAGCTTTGTTTGCACAACTTCTCTGAGGCTGCTGTGAGGAAGATCAGGCGCTGTGTGAGCTGATCCTGGGCTGTGGGCCTCGTCTTACTTTCCTCTTTCTCCTTTTGTCTTACTCTGAAGTTCAGCTTCAGGGCAGAAATAGCAAAAAAAAAAAAAAAAAAAAAAGTCTTTTTCTCTACTTTCTGTTGGCCCACAGTTCATTTCTACAGTGCTTGTGATGTCCCTGGCACAGGGGACGTGAGAACTGGACAGATGGGAGAGCTGCTTAAAAGATGTCAGGTGTGCTAGGTCATGCCTGAAATGACAGCACTCGGAAAGAGGGCTGAGGCAGGAGCATTGCTGAAAGTTTGAGGCTAGTCTGGTCTATGCGGTGAGTTCCAGGCAAGCCCTGGCTAAAGAGTGAGGCTCTCGATCAAGAAGTTTTCAGAGCTCCTTCTGTGTGTGGCTTTATTTTTTTTTTCATCCATGCTCTGCTTATTCTACACGGAGTGTCGTGTGGTGAGGGAAATCACCGGAACCTCACTGAGTGTTACGAAGTGCTATGTGGCAGCTCTTTGGTCCCTGGGCTTGCCCTGAAGCTTCCTTTTACAAGAAGGCAGGGCCTTGGCCATTGTGGATGCAGTGTCAGGGGACACTATGGTGAGAGGTGGAGGGAGAGGGAGTGAGTCCCAACCTAAGAGTCCACTGAGGTCTCATATTTGTGGGAGTAAGGGGAGAGCAGTGCACACAGTCAGCGTGGTAGAGACTGTTTGCTGGTATGTCTTTGGAGTGGGGGCGGGGAGGCATTGTTGAAGCAGCAGCCTGTCCTGGTGGCTTTGTAGATTGCAGAAATTTCTCACTTCCTCTCTGCTACCTATTTTCCCACCCCCGTTTAGGGTCACTCCGTCCTTTGTTGTCACTCTGGTCCTCCCACATCCCCGTTTCCATCCCTGCTCAGCATCCCCTGCCTGGACCCCAAGAGGTTTTCTTCTTCCTTACTGCTGCTCAGGACTCCCTCCATGCCTGATCTCCTAAAAGGGAGCTGCTAAAAGGGAGACTGGCAGGTGGGCACAGGTGGGAAAGGGCGCCTTTGAGCATAAAGCCAAAGAGTGGCTGAGGCGGCCATCAGGAAGAGAAGGAGCATAAGTGGAAACCAAGCAGAGGCAGCAGGACCCTGGCGGAGCACCACTCAGGCAGTGCCCTGAGCATTCCCGCTGGCTCCCCATGTTGTTTAGGGGGGGGGGGGGGTGCTCAGTGAATGGAGGTCTGGAGCTTGCAAGCAGGAGCCTACAGTGAGTGTCCTACAGCTCCCACAGCTTTCATAGAGATCAATCAGCCTGTGAGGAGACAGCAGATAAGCAAGTCAAGGACTTCTGGATAGGGTCTGTTTAACCCTGTAGCTTTTCCTGAGAAAAGCTCACTGGATGTGGGGAAGGGGTCACAGTTCCTGATTTGGAGGTGGAGCGTCCCATGCAGTCACCCGGGCCTGGCACACACAGGGAAGGCACAGAACTTGGGTCGAGCCTCCAGCCTGGCCTCATCTCACCCTTAGTGATGTCAAGGGGATGTGTAATACATGGCCCAATCTTTGGGCTCTTGACGCATTAGGTGAGCAGGGAGGTGGACAGAAGCAGCTCCAGATACCCTGTGACACTGCTCAGAGCCCCGTTCTCCTGCTGTGGCTTTTGAGGAGTTTGGGGGAGGGGTAGAAACTGAGGGGCAGTTCTGTCACCTCTGACAGCTAATGCCTCTGATCCTGAAGAGAGGGTCATATGGAAAAGGGGGGACCAGACCCTTCAGGAAGTTGGCCTGATCACTTCCTTAAAATGAAGGGGCGTAGGACAGGAGGAAGGGGTGGTGTTGAACTGGATGCTTCTGCTTTTCTGTCCCTGCTAGCTGCAATTTCATCCCTATGCTGGACCCCCTGCCCCCGACACCCACACCCGACCTTATTCTTCCCATAGCGCCTCTCAAGCTCTGGCCCATCAGAGCTACACTAGTGTCTTGTTGAAGCTCAGCTCCCCAGCAGCCCCTGGAGATCCCAGATCAGCAGAGCGCGCCTCCTTTGGGGCCCTGTGTGCAGAAAGGCTAGGACTGTGCATTGAGAACCATGGTTCTAGACTTCAGCAGGGAAGCAGCTTCCAGTTGGGTGGATCTCAACCCAAGAGTCGTGACCCCCTTTCACAGAGTTCACCTGAGACCATTGGAAAACACAGATATTTACATTACAATCCATAACAGTTGCAAGATTACAGTTCTGAAGCAGCAACAAAAATAATTTTATGGTTAGGGGTCACCACGTCATGGGGGCGGGGCGCAGCATTAGGGAGGTGGAGAACCACTCTTCTCATCCTTACCACCCACATCCCGCTGGGTCAGAGGGATGCCCACTGACAGTGTGACAGCAGGCCCAGGCGCAGGCTTTTTGCCTAGTTTGCCACCTTAGCGCGCGCGCGTGTGTGTGTGTGTGTGTGTGTGTACACGTGTGTGCACATGGAGAAGTTCCCTCTGCTTATCGGTCGCCTGTGCACCAATGCCCCCTTCTCCTGTCTGAGGAGGAGGAAGCTTAGGGTGTGTGCAATGACAGCTCCTGAGCTGTCATGTTTGAAGAAAGGGATGGGAATGGATTTACCGAAAGAAGGGCCCCCTTCCCTCCCATGTTGTCAGGGTGGCAGTGACAACCCAGGGCTTTGACGCAGTCACAAAAATGCTGCAGAGACCCACAGGCCTTCTGTCCACCCTCAGCTGACATCCTGTGCAGCCAGGTCTCCGCTGTCCAGCATTCGTAAGCGCGGCGTCACTCCGGATTTCTGAAAATGTGTCTGTCAGCAGTGTTCTTTAGCAAACTGCTGTGAGATAGGAGGCCTGCCTCCCTCCCTCCATCCCTCCCTCCTTCCCTCCCCCATGGCTGTTTGAATGAAGTCAGCCTGAGGTTCTGGAAGGTTCCCAGTGCCTTTAGGGCTGTGTGTGACTTACTTTCTATGCATGGGCTAGTCCTTAGGATGCAACTTTTCCTGGGTGATTGCTAGAGACTCTTCAAAGGAAATCAAGGGGTCGGCAAGCCGGCTCAGAATTCAACCCCTGGAGCCTACGTGAAGGTGGAAGGAGGGAACTGGCTCCGTCGATTTCCTCTTGACCTCCGTATACACCCCCCCCCCCCATCACTTCCATGCACTCACAGTAAAAAATGCAATCAAGTAAAAATGTTAACAGAACCATGGTGGCCAGAATGGACGGTGATGCCCAGGGTGCATAGGAGTGTCCGAAATGGATGAGGGGTAGTAGACTTGGGAGGGCCACCTTGTGAAAGTCCCTTGTGTCACAGGACTGACCAGTGTCAGGGAGGATCACATGGAGGAGAAGCAGGCAGGGAGAGGCGACGCCTCTGGCAGGCTTTGCATTTGGCTGTGGTCAGGGGCTCCGGCCCCACACAGAGTCTTTGGCAAGGACCCACAATTGCTCTGGGCCCAATAGTCCACCCTGACACTGTAGAACTGGGAAGCCGTCACCGTGGAAACAGACACGGGGGGGGGGTGTCTTTTGTGTAAAGGCTGGCAAGGAGGGGGCCGGGGTGGGTGCTTGCCTCCCCTGCAGGTCAAGGGTGAAATTCAAACATTTCATTGCTGGCTGTTAGATACGCTGCCTAAATTACTGCCCTCACCCCCGCCCCTCTCATGTTAGGAAATAGACTCGGCTTCCAGTGTCCCCTGTTGTGAGTTTGCACCAGCCACAAGGCCTATGTCCATGCAACCTAGAAACCTTAATCTTCAAGAGTTCAAGGTGAGCCACCTTGAGCACAGCAGCACCCTGGCAGCCCTGCGCTATGGCAGTAGCTTCAGATGGACGTCTCTGTCTGGTGGACCACCTAAATCTATAACGTGAATGCCTCCTTTTCATTGATGACGGACAGAAGTGTGGAGCTGCCATTTTGGAAGCAAGTCTGATGTCTGTCAGATAATGGATAGATAGATAGATCATCATGCCCTGGGTCTGGTGTTCTGGGTCCTGACAGAGTCGTAGAAATAAAAGGGTGACAGAGCTTGCTCAGCCAGCGAAGTGCTTGAGGCCCAGCATTGCATTCCTCGATTCCACATCAAAAGCCAGCGTGGTGGCATTCTCTTGTGAGCTCAGCACTGGGGAGGCAGTGGAAGGAGGCTCCTTGGGGCTAATGGCTGGTCAGCCTAGCCTATTTGGTGAGTTTAGGTAGAGGCAGATTAGTGGTTGCCAGGGACTGCGAGAGCAGGAGAGAAGCTTCTCTTGGGTCTGGGTTTCCTTTCTGGATGATGCAGATGTTCTGGAATTAGGCTGTGGCGATGCTTGCACAGTTGTGTCCTTTAAAATGATGTGTGCACGCATGCTTGAATGCACTTTTTTTTAACCAGTGACATTTTTATAAGTTTCCAACTGTCATAAACACTGTGTAGGAATCTCTGCAATACTGCCATGCCGGGTACAAACTGCTTGGGCTGGCAAGAGAGCTAAGTGGGTAAAGCACGCTTGCCACCAGGCCTGACAACCTGAGTTTGATCGCTGGTGCCAACATGGGAAGAAGACAGAACACACGTTATGAAATTGTCCTCAGACCTCTGTCCATGTAACATGGCCATCACGGACAACCCCCACCCCCAGCCCCAGCTACCCAATGGATAGGTGGTTCTGTTCCTGTGGGACAGCCGAACCCCAAGCTTGTTACAGCTTGGGGGTGCTCTTGGTAGAGTGGTAGAGGCCAGAGGTATTGTACAACACCCTGTAGTTCATAGGGCACTGTGGGTACACCCTTGTTTCCACCTTCTCGCTTGCCACACCTGAGGCTCATGGCCTCTCCCAGGCTCATGGTGTCAGGGAATCCTTACCGAGTGCCACACTCTCTTTGTTTTGGCCACAGATGATGTCCGGCTGTTTGCCTTCGTGCGCTTCACCACCGGTGACGCCATGAGCAAAAGGTCCAAGTTTGCCCTCATCACGTGGATCGGAGAGAACGTGAGTGGGCTGCAGCGTGCCAAGACGGGGACCGACAAGACGCTGGTGAAGGAGGTGGTCCAGGTAATGGGCTCTGCTGCATGCCAGCAAGGGTGGCCGTCCTTGGCGTAGGGAGTGGGGGGTGGAGTGTGAGAAAGTTCTTGACGTTGTGCAGGGTGCCGCCCAGGGCCAGAACTCTGCTGTCTTAACTGCTACAGCACAGAAACATGGCGGCTGGGCTATCCAGCCCTGCACAGCCAGTAGCTCACAGACAAGATGACCAGAATGGAGATGACTGACTATCCGTTGTGGATGGGTCCCAGCAGTGGCTGTGGGGATCTAGGGGAGAGGATCTGCTCTTTCCCAGGACAACACTGTTCGCCCTTGCTTGGACGTTAACCTGATGATTGACAGTGGGGTGCGTTGTCACAGTTTGGTAACTAAAGCATGACAGTAGTACCCATGGCACCACAGACAGTGAGGTTGTTTGTTTAGGGGGTTGGGGAAGGGGTCACCTCAGGAGAGGAAAATTTGTAACGGTAAAGCAAGGTGAGCATGCAGAAGGAGTCCCCAGAGCCTAGAAGCCGCGGAGCCTGTTCTTTTAGCTTATCCAAAGTGGCTAACCTTTCGATGTGGCTGTTGCCCAGGGCCAAGTGACATGCGCAGAGAAAAGAGATGGGGCTGGAGAGGTGGCTCAGTGATTAAGAGCACTGGCTGCGTTTCCAGCGAGCGGGGAAAGGAGATGGGGCTGGAGAGGTGGCTCAGTGGTTAAGAGCACTGGATGCGTTTCCAACGAGCCTGTGTTTGGTTCCCTTCACCCACACAGCAGCTCACACCCCTCTGCAGCTGCAGCTCCAGGGGAGCCAGTGTTCTCTTCTGGCCTCCGTGGTCGTCAGTTCTCTCCTTCCATCCTTCTTTGCCTTCCAGGGATTGAATTCAAGTTGTCAGGCTTGCACCACAAGCACCTTTACCGTCTGAGCCATCTGCGGGCCCCATTATCATCTTATTTTAATTCTGTTGAGATAGGGTCTCACTCTGTAGCCCAGTTTGACCCCACACTTACGGTGGTTCTCCTGTCTCTGTTTTTCAAGTGCTGACAAGTGAGCCACCACACATGGCTAGACCGTTCATTTTGTTGCTTATTACATCATGTTTGTGGTTTTGCAGTGCTGAGGCTCCAAGCCAGGGCCTCTTGTATGCACTCTGCAGGGGCTCTGCCACCGAGCTGCAGTCCCAGCCAGGGCTTTCTGGCTGTGACCCAGAACTGGCTGTGACCGGTGAGTGGACCCATGAGTGAGGTTGACTCAGCGGCCTGGCCTCTCTGATTGCAGCCTTCATGGTGGGAATACTAGTTCCCAGTTGTTTGTTTGCAGGCTCCAAGAACTTGGAGTAAAGTAGCCGGCTCTCCACAGGGGGAGGGAGGTGAGGGCGTCAGGGAATCATGGCTCATGGCTGGATCTGGGCTCAGGTATTTTCATGTCTTCTCCTGATCCATTCCTCTCTGGATTTGGCTATCCTCTACTGGAAGAAAGAATATCCAGGCTTTGGTGATCCTCCAAGGTGACCCCAGAAGAGAAAGGCCTGCTACCTCTGTGGTAGTCAGTTCCTTAAAAGACCCCTGATGGGGGAGGGAACGACGGGAGTTGAAGTGTGCTGGGGACACTCAGGTGAGGAGCTGGGATTCCCAGCCAGGTAGTAGGGGTACATGCACCCAAGTGTGGAGGCAGGAGGATTAGGGATTGAGGCCTCCTGGGACTGCAAGTCAGAAGGTTCACTGAAGGTTCTGTGTTCAGAGATGAGCCCTGTCCACGGTGGTGGAAAACCAGACAAAAGTTCCCTTCTCCGCCGGCCTCAGGGCAGCAGAGGCTGCAGGAACTGGGCTGTTCTAGAGACACTGCCCTGAGCTGGGGAATGTGCTGAGCAGACAGCTCGCCTGCCTGACCGAGGTTGTCCTGCCACACTGTTGTCTGCTGGTGCCTGGGAGAGCACTCCCGCCCATTGTTCTCATGTCTCTGCAGGCTTGTGGGGACAATGTGGTGGCCAGCGGGGGAGACTACCTGGTGCCAGACCAGGCTTCCTCATGTCAGAACGGATCACTCTGGCCTTGCAAAATGCTCTACCTCATACGCTCTTTTATTTATTTGTATTAATTATTGTTTGGGTTTTAAAATATTACCTATTTGTGTGTGGGGTGCAAATGTGTGGGGGTGCACCTGGGGGTCAGAGGAAGTTGTGGGGTGTCTTTCCTTTCACCACGTAGGTTCTAGGGTGATCACAGGCTTGGCTGCAAGCTCCTTTACCTGCTGAGCCATCTTCCTTGCCCAAGGGAGACCATTTTGAAGGTGGGCTGTGTCTGGCAGACAGTGGGGAGCCTGGCAAGGCATTAAGCTGGGGAGAGGGACTGGCTGTACTCAGGAAGAGGTCCAGAACATAACTGAAGCTACTTCAACCGGCAGATCGTTCTGTGGCTAGCTGGGGCTTGCTGCCCACCGCCAGACTCCAGACCCACTTCCGGTCTATGGCCAGCCTGCCTGGGTATGGCACTTACCAGCTGCCTAGAGCCATGTCCAACACAGAACTACGGAGCACCCCTGCTGTTCCGGAAGGTGTGAGGCCTCCCCAAGGTGGTCCAAGTATCCTGGGGTGTGCCCCGTGGGCTTTGCCCACCCCCTTTCTGATGCCAAAGGGTCTTCCGATCATTCATCCCTCTACAGTTTCTTTCAGAGTACCTAAGCCATACACAATAGTGGCCCTTGGTCACAGCAGCCAGGCACTGTTCCGTGAGCGCACAGCACAGGCATGAGTCTGCGCTAGTCGTGGGCAGTGCTTCTCCTGTACACCTCAGTCAGCTTTGGCCAGGAGCTCACACAGACCATGTCTCTGGTTCCTCACCTCCCTGAATCTGTTTCCTCATCTGAGCAATGGGAAAGTAATAAATAAGATGCCATATAGGCTGGTATAGGTGTAAAAGCTCCTTCTTTTTGAGAGAGCTCTCATGTTGCCCACGCTTGTTTTGAACTCACTGTATGTAGCTGAGGTGACCCTGAGCCCCTGAAGTTCCTGCCTCCACCTCTTAGGTGGGGGGAATAGAGATTCTCGACGCTGCACCCTGTTTGTATAGTGCTGGGCGGAACCCTAGGCTTTGTGCATGTGAGGCAAGCACTCTCCCCACTAAGCAAGCCCCTTTTTACTTGTGCATTCATTCTTTGTAGAATTATGGACATGTCCTGGTATTTGCTGACAGTGAACATCTTTGAGGCTAAGTGTTGTCATTTTAAAACAATTTTGTTTACCGATTCTTTGGAGGAAATTCCCAAACATGCATGTGGCTGGGAACAAGAAATTCTATGCCTTTTTTTTTCTCTCTCTCTCTTTGTGATCCTGGAGATTAAACTTTGGATCTCACACGTGTTGGGTGAGTATTCTGTTCCATAGCTAGTTCCCCAGCCATGGATAGCTTTGATTAGACAGAAGTTGAGGACCCAGCGTAGATTTGACCTCTGACCTGAAAGTTGACCAATAGGTAGAGGCTGCTTGGAGCGCTGGTTTAAGTCTTGACAGAGAAGGTGCCATGATTGATTTTTGACGTCTGCCACTGGCACAGGAGTAGAGAGTGGAATATGTTTCCTACTTCTTTGCCCTCCCTGAACTAGATAGAGTCAGAGGTCCGGCCAAGTGGGGTCAGGGCTTTGGGAGGGCTTTGCCTCTGGGAGGCAGAAGAGCAGGTCCAAGCAGTTTCCCATATGCTAAGAGAGATGGCCATGAAGGGGACAGTTTTCCAGGTATGAGATCAACCGCTCTGAGTTGGTTTGATCCACACCTGCTCACAGCGGGGATCCTGGGACATCTGTCTGCCTGCAATCTGTTTATGCGAGATCACTCCGTGTGCCTACCTGTGCTATGCCCTTGGTTCTCTCCCTGAGCAGGAGGGTGACCTGTGTCTTTGTATCTGAATCTGTTAGACGCTTTGCCTCCTGATCCATTTCTTTTCTTCATCCTTCTTTGATGAGTCATGCCTGCTTTAAGAACCTGCTCTTTCTGAGTAAATTATACCTTGCTGGACTCGGTCTTTCAGGCACTGAATAGGTGTAGGAGGACACAGGGGGCGGGAGGGCTAGCAGTGGAGAGCCACCAACTGCTGTGCACTTGGGTTTCTTTCTGCTCAGCCTCCTGCGTGGTTGTCCTTTCTCCTAGCAAGAAGGGCTGCTGGGGACTGATTGCTTTTATTCAGCACTCAGAGGTCTTTGGCTTAGAATTCTTGGGGAATTCCACTTGGGGAAAAGCACTTGATTGTGGCCAGCGGGTGACTTGTCCACTCCCTGCTCCAGCTCATGCCCCTGGGAGAGAGTCTACACCCTGAACAGCGGAGATTTTCATGGGCTCCGGTTGGGCTCAAAGCAAGAACCTCAACCTTGAGAACCGTCCTGTGAGCCTCTGCTGCTTCCCCATGGATTCTGGCATCCATGGTGGGGCATTGTCTTACTCTTGGTCTCTATGCTCCAGGGACTTAGGTAGGAGGACCCTGGGTGGCTGGTGGGGATCCGGCTTGGGGACCCTTTTTTCTCCCTCTCCTCTTTCACAGGAATGGAGAGAGGGCCAGAGCTAGTGAATGGTGTCTTTGGAGCCTCTCAGAGCCTCTGCTCCTCTTCTCGTAGAGAGAGCCACAGCACTGGAATTTGGCCTTTCAGGACATAGGCAAGCGATGGTCCTAGTGAGTATTAAGGCAGTTGTGCCGGTTTCTGGGATCAGTGAGTGGCATTGCCCTCCTTGTCTTTGGGTATAGTGGGAGCCATCTCTCTTCCTCAGCAAGCTTTTCCCTTCTTCCCTGCAGCTTTCCCCTACTCCAGCTTTGGGTGTTGCCACTGGGTTGGCGGATACAGCCAGCATCTTCCGTGTTCGCCCAGAGGAAGGCTTGGGGCTGCCCTTCATTGCAAATGAACACAGGGGATGAGGAAAGGACCCTGACATGTACCTTAACCTCTCCTGCAGGCTTGAGGCTGAAGGGAACGTTACATCACTTCTGAATCAGCCCAGGGCCAGTCAGCACTCGCCCACTGCTGGGCACACCCAGCAAGTGTGCATGT